GAGGATGACCTGCCTGTCGTTATTAGAGCCTCCAGACTATTGGGAACTTTCCGCCTGCTAGACTTCTCAAGTCTCAAACTTCTTAAATCCTCTCGAAAAGCTTTTGGAAATGTTTGATCTGCATTTATTTATACTGTACCTAAACTAAGTATACCTACATACCTACCTAAAATTATTTGAATCAAGGATAGTAGGTGGGGGGGTTATGATTAGGTAAAAGCCTAGTACTATCATCCCCTGCATTTTAAGTCATTACGAGCTGACAAACAGCTGCAACAACAGAAAACTGATATCATTTCAACATAATCACAATTTCTGTAATGTGTCTCAGCATTTACACTTTAACGAGCAGGATTGACTGAAAGGAACATTTATATACCCCAATATCTGCACCTACCCCAAAGCTTCATATCAGTCTGGCTCGATTTTGTACATGAGTTCTTTCTAAATGAAATCCAACTTTATGTGACATTGCAATTCTTTATTTCCTCTTTATCAGTTACAACTTCTGTTTATATTCTGTACAGCACTGAAGGCACACAAAAAAACAAAGATATAATGGAACATAAGTATATACAAAATATACAGAATAAATAATTCAATCTAGTTACGTAGAAAAGCTACAGAGTGTGTGCTTACATGAACCGTTTAGAAGTTGAATGCGTTTCCATGAGTATGAACGGAGTGTGCGGTATAAATCCTGAACTGTGATGTTGTCCACAATTGCAAAATGTCATTTCCCAGCAGTCCACTGCTTTAAATACGAGCTGAGTCTGTGGGCTTTTGGGTAGTAACGTTGCTCGTCAGTAACCATTCATGTGCTAATAGATTAATATTCCCCGACCTTTGATCAGTTCACAACAGTTCCAGGCCTGTTGACGTCGGCATGAGGAGTGTGCGATGCTCCTGAATGCTGTTTGAATATAGTCGGACATAAAATAGTGACATGAAACGCCATCTCTCTCACACACAAACACAAATCATACACATATCTAGCTCATTTTTTTCTGGCAGAATTTAAAAAACAAAACATCTAAAGTTTCAGCAGGACTCCGTTGATTGTCATGCACCATCTTATGGCATTTGATTAGTGCAATGCATTTTGTACAAGATTACAGTTGTGTATTATATACTGTACTTTAAGTGCTCTATTTACTGATTGAGAGAAAACAAAGCATCCTTTCTGCAAATATCACCAGTTTGTATAAAAATAAATAAAACGTCCCATGACTGCAGCTGTGCAGCGCGATAGGTCCATCAGAGGAGCCGACAGGAGAACAGCAGTGGAGCTGCACTCGTATCAGTGCTTTTCTGATGTACAGTTGGCGTTTTGCTGACTCCACGGCACAATGAGCATTCTGGTTACAGCTTTCCATCTGGCTTATGTTGACAGAGGGGTCTAATCAGGTCACACTGAGCCAGGATAGACTGAATAAACAGCATTTCTGGGTCAAGTGGTGATTGAAATTCACTAATTTCTTCCCAAACATCTGCTTTATCCTCAGATGTAGGGTGTGTGTGTGTGTGTGTGTGTGTGTGTGTGTGTGCCGTGTGGATCAATTCATTTGGCTGTGATAAAGCCATGGAAATTTAATCAATCATAAAACCTTGATTGAGTGAGTTTCAAAGATGCCTGCTCAACAGACTGCGACCGCTTCTTGTAAGTTACATTTGGCCAAAAACATATGACACCTTTCACCAGCTACATAAAATGGCTGTCAATAGATAGTAACAAAAAAAAGAACCCAGTTACATTCTGTGCTACTGTTAAACTTAAAGTGATGTGCCCATGATACATATTTCACACTGTGGAACGTACAGCAGGGGAAACGGGACAAGGCACTTGGTTCAAAACATAATATATATATATATATATTTTTTTTTTTCTGCCTTAGCTCAGTTAAATGCAGTTTGATGCTCCAGAACCTCCAAGTAGTCCGGCTCAGTATGCAGGTTAGCCTTAAGCTCAAAGTACTCATTCTTAGTTTGCTCTAGCATGACCTTGCGCGGCCTTGAGTACATAATTGTCTCCATCAGCTTTAACTCCTCCTGGTGCCCCGGGACATGCATATCCACAGCAGACTGAAGCTGGGGCATGTTTTTGCGAAGGTACTCGCTTATTCCGAGCTGCTGCAGCTCCTTCTCCTTCTCAAGAATGTTCCTGTAAAAAGAGTTGGGGTTCCCAAGCGTGACAAACTCCGCGGGGCACTCTCCAGTCATGGGTCTGAACTTTGAGCTAGGGTTCCCTGTGAGGGGAGAAGTGTTCTCCTTCTCCATGATACTCCGGCAGACGTGATGCTTGCCGCTAGGCTCGTCGAGGCTATAATCCAAATCTGCGTCATGTTCCTTGTGCTGGGAGCAGTAGGTGGGGTTGCGGCAGATCTGAACAATGGGACTGTGTGATCTGTCCTCATACAGAGTTGCAGACCCAGTTCTTTGGGTCAGAGTGTGGTGTGTGGTTTTCTGCCCATACATGCTGTAATGTAAGTGGATGGGACTACTGTTGGAGTTTTCTCTTGGCTGCTCCTCTGCTGCTTTTTTCTTTGCCCTTCTTCGCCGCCGGTGAACCACAAACACTACCAGCCCGGCAGAGCAGAATATAATCATGAGAGCAAGAATAAGAAGGCTCAAGATGAGCACAGATAGTGGGACAGTGTCTGTGAGTGAGCTGAACAAACCCCTGCCACTGCTGTCAGGCCCCAGTGTGGCTGTCACACTCTCCTCCTCACCTGGGTAGTATGTCCCTAAGCCAGGACATAGCATCTCATGACGAAGGCTTCTCAGCTCAGCCTGCATCACATTCTTTGGGGTGTTACACAAAATGGAACCCACCACTGTGTCCTTTCTGAGTTTCTCCACCCATTGTTTGAGGCTGAGCAAGTCACAGCTGCAGTCCCAGGGGTTGTCCTCTAAATAAATCTGCTCGAGTGCGTCAAGTTGATCAAGCACGTTGCTTACTGGCAGGTGCATAAGTAGATTTTTCCTCAGGTTTAATTTGATGAGGGGCACATTGCGAAATATCTGCGCCGGAAGAGAGCTGAGCAGGTTGTTATTTAATGACAAGAGCTTCAGGTTTGGCAGGGGATTAAATGTGCCTGGAGCAATCTCTTTGATAAGGTTGTATTCCAGATACAGGTATTCAAGGTTGTGCAGCCCCACAAACATTGTGGAGAACATTTTTTCGATTCTGTTGCCGTTCAGGTAGAGTTTTTTCAAACTGCTCAGGCTGAGGAAAGTTTCATTATCTATGTAATCAATTCTGTTATTCGCCAAGTTGAGCAATTCTAAACCATCATATGTGACAAAATCATACTTCAAGAGTTTCTGGATCATATTTCCCGTCATGACCAGCTTTGTGGGGCTTTGCTGAAGTATTCCGATATCTGACACTTTTTGAATTCCTCTGTCCTGACAATGCATCAAAAACCCAGCCACAGGGTGATTGTGGCAGGAGCAGTGTTCCACACAAGGACTGCCAGGAGAGTGAGAGGGTGTCGGTACCTTGGCGTCATCTTTGGCGTTGATCAACTTAGGATTCGGAGACACTTTGGATGAGGGAGTAACAACCATATCCAGTGACTTTGATGGCTCCTCCAGGTTGATAATTGCATGGGACGGGCACAGCACGTCACGCTTCACTCTAGCCAGAATGGTCCCCTTAAGGTGCTGTGGCGTGCTACAGACCACATCCCCGATTAATGACTGGGCTCTCATGTTCTCCATCCATATTTTTAAATGTAAAATATCACAGTCACAGACCCAGTCATTCTCATCAAGGAGAAGTTCCATTATCCTTCCAATGTGCTCCAAGAACCCTACATAGGGCAGTGTCTGGAGCTTGTTTCCACGTAGGTCCAGGTGTGTGAGGGGCACGAACCGGAAAATGTTGTTGGGTAAAAACTCTATGGAATTATCATTCAGGATGAGGACCTTGAGGCGGATTAGTTTGTTGAAGGCCCCCGGCTCAATGACCCGAATGAAATTCGTGTCAGCCTGGAGAAACTCCAAATTCACCAGGCCTTGAAAAGTGTCCTCTTTCAAAGTGACGAGGAAATTGCTATTTATGTGGAGTTTTTTCAGTGAACTAAGAGTGCTAAAGACCCCTGGTTCCAGCTCTTGTATGCTGTTACCCCCAATGTGCAGCGACAGGGCGTTGTTAAGCCCTTCCATTTCCTCTGCACGCAGCTCAACCAAGTCATTTTTGTAAAGGTTCAGGTGGAAGGGCACACCTGACGGGACTTTGATTTGGGAGATTTTGCTGATGTTTCTCTGCTCGCAGTTAAAATGAAGGATGCCATCTTTCCCCTCGCAGGAGCACAAGGAATCACAAGACTCACTAATCGTGGATGATGCCTTTGAGGGATGGATATCTTGGGATTGGACCGCAGTGACAAACAAGGCGATGAAAATGATACAGGGCAGCATTTCGGGCTGAGATATCTGTGGAGAAAAGGATAGAGTGTGGGCAGAAGGGGTGGGGAGGAGAGAAAACAAATTATATAAACATTGTTATACAAGTTGACATGAATTAAATGAATGTTTCTGAATAATCATTCTATTTACATGCCTGAGACATAGATCAAAATTTAATGTGTTACAACACTTGAACTTTGGCTGTTGTACGTGTAAAAAGTGTAACAACGTAAAATGACATTTATGGGTGCATTATATGCATGAAGGGAAATCACACTCGTCTTGGAAGGAAGCATTTGCTAGTGTCGAATTGTCTGAACACGGTGAAAATGCATGAAAAATATATAACTTGAAAAGGCAAACCACGATAACATGCCTACTATTCTACAATTTCTATTTTTCATCATAAGGTTATCATGATTATATGCTGATGTTTTTTACCCATACGTGGTCTCTATACTACTGAGCAACACTTTCCAGTGTGGACATGAAGGATGGCAGCTAAACCAAGTGTAGCTGTTAATGGGAATCCTAATAATCCGTATAAAAAGCAAAAAAAAAAGGGACACTGCAATTTTAGTGATGAGTAAATACATTTCACAGGGGGAACAATGACATTAAGACAGCCTCTTTATCCAGTGACTCACAGTGGGATAATGGCACATATTAAAAAAAAAAGAATGTATTTCTCATTTGAGAGATTTAATGCCCCTTTAAATGGAGACCATTTTGTGTCCTTGTTACAGCTACATTTATAACAGGCATTCACCTCAGTACTGAAATTTAATGGCTTTATTTTTCAACCAATTAGCCCAAGACTCGAGTGGACTGATCAGAAACCAAGCCGAAATTAATCCGATTTCTCATACTACTCTGTTCATGTTACTGCGAAATTCCAAACTTTCCCCAAACTTTGCTGTGAGCACGATTTATGTTGAAAAACAGAGGGAAACACCGAAATGTGGTTTTTATTGACACAAGCCCTCAGCACCACATCTAAATCCATTACGTTAATTTAAATGGAATCACAATGGATCAAAAGGCAGCATCACACTCAGGGGGGAACTGGTGGAGAAGTCATGAGATGGATCTCCCCATGATCAAGGATAACTAAATATCCCGCCTTAGAAGATAATGCTTCAAAGAGAGAAGATTTGGAAGGATGTCAAGAACTCACTTCTGTTCTCGTAAACAAATCTGATTAGCAACTGGAAAACTTAATTCTGACCTGACTAGGCGAGCCTTGTTTGAACTCAACACATACTGACCAAAACCTTGTCTTTAATGTTAGAAGTTGTTACATATCAGATTACAGGAGATGAGTTGATTAGCCCCACATGCACCCGAGGAGTCGCCTGGACCTCGAAGAGATAAAGTCTCTTGTGCATGTTTGAAAGCCCTCTTCCCCCCAAACAGGGCTTTAAGGAGAACCCAATTATCCAGTGGCACTACTAAACATACTAAACGCGAAAAAACGGAGGAGAAGAGAATGAAAACATGGGATTTGAGGGCAGCACCACCATGCATGGAAGGCCATAGCAGGAATAAAAACAGCATTGTTTTAATTGGTGAAGACATATGCATGAAATCAGTATTTTCAGGAGGGAAAAACACACAGGGACATCTTTTTTGGATTATTTTAGGTACATCAGAGTGTAATCTGTAACTAAAGTGTAACAGAGTTTCCCTCAGCTCCCCTGACATTTGTACCATGCTCCTACACTATAACCTTTTTGCCTGTTAGACTTTGTCTGCTGTTGAGAATACTCAAGATCATTGATGAAAACCAAAGTCAACACTATCTCCAACGTTTTTGACGGATTAGTCATATACCCCAAGGTCGCTTCAGCTGAAATAGATGGACCTGAGAAGCACTAACATATTACAGAGAACCCTGAGATCATTGGAGCATATGAAATGGTCATCATCACATCAAACTGAAGACAATAAGATAAATAACAAGGTTAGAAAACGTGAATAATTATCTGTTTTAGGAATTACCACAACATCAGACAGATTACACCAGAATAATTAATCTGTTCTCGCCTCCGGGGACAGCCAGTGCTCTGAGTCAGTTTGCACAGCAGCACAAGAATAGGGAGACCCATTATTGAGCTTTCCAAAAAAGGGCAGCTAATTATAACTCAACAAAAACAAGGATTGTTTCTCGTAGTTTCTCAAATAGTGAGCAGTGATCTTCAGGGAACTGTAGTCAACTGTAACAATATCATTAATTTTAACAAAAAAGGTTTGTCATTCTTCGCCCATCTTTTTTTAAATCTTCATGATTTGTTTTACAAATAAAAAATGAATTGAACTTGAATTATAAACCATTGTATGCAAGTCTATACATTTTGAATCTTTTCTGAATTGTTTTCATATTGGTGCATATCAGCAAATATAAACTTCAATACCAATACATTGTCCTGCTGATATTGTCTGCCATATATTAGTGGGGCTCTAATAGAGACTTTAATTCTGCAGTCTTGATCAACACTTCATAGCTGTTTATGTCACTATTAAAAGCTTAAAGAATAAAACATTTAAAAAAAATTTAAAGCGTACATTATCTACTGAAGATGTAATTATCCATTGTGTTCAGAAATCCTTAGAAAGACGTTTTTGAAAATAGCAGAAATATTTGAAGTTACAATGGCAAACCATAAAGGATTGGAATCTCCTGCCATTGTAAAGCAACACAACAGTTAGGAAATGACCATCTTGAACAAATGACAAGGAGCTATGACGATGAGGTCAAATCAGCCACGTATATCAATGGAAGATAATGTGGTGAAAGTATAATGAGACACACAATTACAATTTGTCAAACCTATTATAAAAGCATTGCTTAGACAGTAATAACACTGAGAGAACGACTCTAAAAGCTGGTGCCAAAAATGTCTTTGGCCATTTTCCATCACTTGTCTGCGTTTTCTCATTCAGGAGTCTGGTGGTGGTCATGGCACCCAAGGCTCTCACCTCTGTGACCCTGATGGCTCGTGAGACAATACGAAATGAAACAAAGACTATTAACAGATGCTATCGCCTACTGCATGATAACACGCTGCTGAGGGCAGATATGGAAAGGCATTAGCTTCATGCAATCTTTGTTCTGTATTTCAAACAGACTCGTCTAACTGATCCATTTTTCAGGCAATCAATGTTGCATGGAACTCAGCGTGACGGGCGCGGGAGATGAAATACTCTTCCAGTGCCAGCCTCTTCTGCCGCACTCTCTCTTTTCCCAGATTCAAATGTGCATCTCTTGCTATTCAGGCAATTCAATTAGAGATCTACTGAAGCCCTATGAGATCTCCCATCATGCGAGTGAAGCCATCTCATTGTCCAACATCAAATGAGACGAGGAAAAGACAACAGAGGCAAAGTGGAGGAGAAGATTCTGTTGATGGAGTATTATCACACATCAAGCCCCTCTTCAGGCTCTGTGACATACACAATAGGCTATGGCCACTTGCACGGGCCATAAATGGCGTCTTCACACTTTATTTGGACCAACCACTATTTTACTGCACCGTCCCTGTGTTCTCTATATCATGAGACATCATTAGTCTGGTATGGTATCATGATGCAGTGACAATTCTTGCAAGTACTCTCACACAGAGAAGTCATGAATACACATGATCATATGGCACGCAGATACTTCCAACAGTGCAGAGCGGAAACAGAGAGAACTCTGAGAAACTACTGTCTTTCCATATTGATTGGATTTAATTATGTCCACCCAGTGATCAATGCATGATAATATACTCCTCTTACTCAATGCTTAAAAGATGGCACTGATATTAATGGGCAATAAATCAGGAGGAGAACGTAACATGGAATGGCCGAACAGAAACAAGCCTGCACATCACTCACAAGAAAAATGTTTAACATGCATTTAGAATTTTTACTTTTGGTCAATGTCCCATAACTTAACTAGGAGGAGACAGGCTTGAGTGCAGCTGAGACCTGCTGCTGTCTAAAGTTTTGTGTCTTGCTCATTGGCACTTCAGTAAGGCAGCCAACACTGCATCCTACTCTGTGACTGAACTCCCCTTGTGTGCTTGTTTATTTTGTACTTTGTCATTTCATTTTCTTCCTGGCTGTCTACTTGTGCGCCACCAAAAGCGGTAATTACAGCTGAGGTATTAGATTCACTGTTACGACCGGTCTCCGGAGAAACCAATGGTAATACAAATATGAACTTATCAAAAATATCTGCTCATTAAAAATCGCAATAGTATCGACACTAACAAACATTATCCTGCAATTATTTCCTTCTCAATCCATCCTGTCTCAGTATTAATGGACGTATTCACAAACATCTGAAAGACAGTGGCTTTCACTCCACATTTGAAAGAGAGAGGACCCCGTCTTGAACATGTTTTCTTTACTGAAAAGCTCAAGGCAAATGTACCCTTGCTTTACATTGATTTTGTACGCTTCATGCACCAAACGTCCAGAGCACTGCAGTATTTGTATCCCGTATACATAGTTTGCACTCACAAAACATAAACCTGGGTTTGAACTGTACCGATTAGCGCGCACATTTTACAGTTGACAGTTTGAGCCATTATTTTTAGATAATACGAACACATCCTGTAGTCATGTTCTCTAGTCGTCACTGTCAAAGTAACTAAAGTCTGCGTCTGGAACCGCAAATAGCCCATAAGGCAGAAGCCTAATTCCATTTTGTGTAGCGTGAGGCATCTTGATGTACAAGAATAAAAGGCTTGTTATCCCTAGTGGCACCCGACAGATAGAGCCATTCTCCCAACTCCGTCAAGACTGATAATGGTCACTCCGCATTTGTATTTCAAATATCGCGTGGATATCTTGTGGATACTCCCGGTGTATCTTGGGTTTCGGCTTGTTTCTAAAGGCTTCGCAGTCAACCTCAGTTCTTAACATTTTATGACCTCAGTCCTCCTCATTGCTTGGCTACCTGCAGTCATGGTGATTTATGGATCTTGACAGAAGCGAGGCTGGTGGGGAGTAAATTTTAATTCACTGAAGGCTGAGGTCCC